CACCTGTGAGGCCAGACAATGTGCAATGGTCTTTGCTGATCATCGGTTGCACCCACAATGTCACAGGGATTAAGAGCTGAGTTGTGTTTCTTTTCCTCGTGATAAGAGTTTGAATGGTCTGACGAGTTACACTTGTGCATGTTTGACGGCTCCAGTCTTTCTTGTTGTGCTGGTTTAAGGTCAGAAAATGCATCACAAAGTCTGGAAACTGAAGTAAAATTCTTCAACACACTTTCTGAGCCTCCCAGATCCTTTTGCGAAGGGAAGGCCACGGAGGGAGAAGCATCATCTCCTTTAAGGCTGAGCATCTTCTTTAAATGTGGGGTTTTGTGCTTGGGCATGAATCTGTAGGAAGAAGGAATGCAACACATTTTACTTAAAATATTATTTCCTAGTAGAACATCTACAGAAAGGTATTCTGCACCTTTCTGTAGGGCATGGTAAATATGCAAAATGCAAAGAACAAATACAATGGCATCATTCCAAAAATTCTAGAGGGGAAAAGAATAAAAATTAGTAGCCACTGAAAGTTCAAGACTCTCCTGCAATGGTGCTTAAAGAGTTTTGGGGTTGCAAAATCTGAATTGGGCTTAAAACCCTTTACAAAGTTATTTAGAGATGCAGAACACCACCATCTTCCCTTTTGTGGTAGCTATTTCTGGCTTAAAGAAAATATATCATGATTATAAGACTGGACAAATTATTTATCCCTTTTTTGTTATTATTTTTTATGTGTGTACCATTAAAACTGATCTGACTGGTACAGGAGGAGATCGTCCCTCCTTCTTTGGCAGAGGATCTGGCGGATTTGAACTGTGCACCTCTGGTAATGCAATGCAGCTTCTTGCCACTAAGCCACCAGAGCTCGCTTATCCCTTTTTCTGAAAGTTCTAATCACCACATGGGCCACTGTTTACTTTCAGGTCATACTTGTTTATTACAGTTTAAAAATGCCTGAAGTGTCTTTCATTGACACCAGCTATTTCTGCTCAAACAGATGTCAATATTCCTGGTCACATGTATATATTTTATTAAAATGTCGTGAAGTGTTTGTCTTTTTCACATATTATTTCTACCCTATCTTCTCATAACTCTTTACCATTCAGAGTTAGCTATCATTTATTGACAAGAATAGTAAAGCAAGTGTGTTTTGAAAAATAAAATTCCTAGTATAGTCTAAGGCCTCTGATTCACTCATATCCAACAGAAGATACATTGTCAAGGAGCGTATCCCCTACTGAGGAGGGAAATCATTCGCGCTCGGAACACTGACAGATTGATGTGCTCGCAGTCAACTGACTGTGAGAAAAAAAAAACACACAAACAAACCAAAAAAAACCTCCAAAAGCTCACTGTGATTAAGTTGGAAGGAACTCACAGCTGATTCTCCAGCATGTTTTTCGGAGGCTATAAATCACCCATAAAGGGACTGCTCATATTTCTGCTGAGGCGTCACTGGTGGATTTGAACCACCAAAGAGATGTAATCTCTGAGTTAGCAATGCAACTCCCTACAGACAACGCCCCCACAGCTCCTAACTTTCATTGTTGTTGTGCTCTTACATGCATCAGTGGATTCACAGCTGACCTTCCAAAGGGTTTCAGAGGTTGTAAATCTCACAGGAGGAATTTGTCCATCTGCTCCCTCAGGGCATCTAGTGGATTCAAACCATATTCCTTTGGGTTGGCAGTGCGACTTCTCACTCATTAGGCCACCACAACTCCTTTACCTTTCATGAGTACATGCTATATAAAACACTAGCCATTCTAACTACTAAAAGTGAGGAAGAACAGAGGTTACTTTTGACTTGAGATCAACAGGTTTAGAGAGGGCTTTATTTTACGGTTTTTAAAAGGCAGTGAGGCAGAAGCTGTGAAGTGAGAGAACAGTGTGGTCACGTGAGAAGGGGTATGAATGAGCACAGAGTCTACATGGAATAACATGTAACACAAAGATGCTGGGATGTGAGTCCTGAGATCTGACATCGGAGGAGGCCGAGAGGGAAAAAATTTTCATACCTGGTCCTCTTTCCTGAGGTTGGGCAGTAAGTCAAGAATGGACACCATGGGAATTTAAGAAGAGGGTAGGAAAGAAGCCACAAGGAAGAAGAGCAGTAAGGGACATTGTAGAGAGAGAATAACATCACACCATCAAAATGAACCAAGAGGCCTAAGTGAATCTGTGAAGAGGATTTAAACACTGCAGAGACTGAGCAGCAGCAGAAACCACACAAGGCTTTCGGTTTTGTCAGGTGGTAGGTCCCTGTTGTTGGACCCTCCAGTGGGTTTTCTGAGCAAAGAAATCTCACGAGAAGAGATTTCACATCCATTTCCCACAGAGCATCTGGTGGATTAAAACTGTGTGCCTTTGGACACGACTTCTTACCATTAGGCACTAAAACTCCCTCTCACCCCCCATTAGCTACTTCTAAAAAGGCCTAAGTTTGATTTCTTCAACTGGGTAAGTGACACAGCGAACACGAGAGAGAACTCGCTTGGAAAGAGAGCAGGATCCTGGAGACATATTTCCAAGATAGAAACAGAGGAAAAATATGACAGTATTTTTGGCATGAAGGAAAATAAAACTGTATGAAAGTGAACTGGGAAGAAGAGAAAAATCTAGAGGGGAAAAGTGTTTCAAGAGGCCTAGGAAACCTGTAGAGTTGTGTCATTAAATTTTAGGCTAGGTGAGGTGCTTCAAGTGGTGGGGAGGGGGGATAAAGAGTGAGCAGAGGGCTCAGGGCTGTCCCTAGGCACCTGGTCAGCCAGTGTAACTTGATCGGAAAGCAAGGGCTGATGAGCAAGGATGAGCTGGAAACAGTCTTTGGCTCTAGTACTGTACTATGCTGTGTACATTCCAGAACCAGAGAGCTTATTTTGGAGGTTTCTGTGCTTATTTCATAAATCCCTCTAAATGTCTATTTTGATTTCAAATACTTTGAGGGGGAAAAAAAATCACTTGACTATATAAGACTCCATAAGAAGTTCCTCAAGTAATCAATCCTGCTGTTGGCTGCAGCTGTGCTCACGTGTGCAGAGTGGGGCTGCTCCATCAGAAATTCAAGGCTGGGACCTTCTGCAGGCAGATCTCCATGCCTGTGTCCTGAGGCACCTCTGGCTGGAATTGAACAGCCAATCTTTTGACTACTATTCAAGCACTTAACTACCATGCAAGGACTTCTAAGTAAGCACGTGATTAACATATAGATGAAATAGCAAACATGGTACTAAGATTATTTGTAGTTGTTGTTGATTGAGTTGAGCGTGACTCAGAGGGACTCTATGAACAAAAGGCCTGAAACCTTTCTAGAACTATCGTCATTTATCAAAGTTCACAGAAGTATACACACATAAAAAAAAAATTAATCCTTTATTTAAAATGAAAGACAACAATAACAACGGGAACAGCACATTGTTTTGGACCTCAGCGATCCAAAGTTCTGAAGGAAACAAACTTCCCTCCCAAAACATAGTAAAAATACTGAGATGAACCCAAGGAACTGAAAGACAACATTTCCGATGATCACAAGAGGTTAAAAAAATGACTGTGAGGGCAGTATCTTCAACTTCCTCTAAACAAACAGAACAAACGGTAAGAAGGGGAACATTTGTATATATCAGGAAAATACACTAAAGCAGGCGAAGTAACCTATTTGTTTAAGTCAGATAAATAATGCCAGGCTAGCTTAAAAAAAGGATTTAAAAAGAATTACAAACTCAGTGCAAGACGGCCTCACAATAAAAAAAAAAAAATCAATGGGCACTGAAACAACATATCTTCATTTCAGAACACAGTATCATGACCCGTCTTACTCATAAAATCCATTTATACTGGCCAGCATGTGCACAAAATTGCAAATTAAAAGAAGGAGAGTTTGGCTCAAGGGTTGTAAACAATGCGAATTGGTAACTGACAAGGAATTTAGCTGTAGGCAAGGTGCTAGGCCTGCTTTTACCCAACACATCTCCTAAGTGTTCTCAAGGATGAGCAGAGTCCCACTTCAGTGCCGGCTGAGGACTGACCTGATAGGTGGTGGTGAAAAGAAACATGAAAATGGGAAGAATGTTAATATAGGCAGTGACTAAAACATCAGCTTACGAATCTTGTGAAAGTAACACAACATAAATCCTTGCATGCTAGGAAGTCACACCGGGGAACTCTATTTAGATTGTCCCCAGTTTGACTGGATGAGGATGGGCTGGATTGACCCAGCTGACTGATAACCGCTTAGGTAAGGCTCCTCCTGTGCAGGCCAGGCAGCTACTAAGTCCACTGGGGCACAAAGCTTGTGTGAACGCGGGTTTCATCTGGGGCATCTGAGAACTGTGTATGTTTGAAAATTAGAGTTCTTGAAGAGCAATAATAATGATTAAGGCAATGGAAGAATTGATTTATGAGGACAGATTAAAGGAGCTAAATATGAATAGCCTGGTTAAGTGACAACTAGAGGAGTACATAATAAGAGTCTCCAAGGGAAGAGAATAATTATTTAGCCGAGTACAAGGGGGTCTAACTAGGAGTAATGAGAGGAAATTAAGAATGGGAAAATTTAAGCTGAATTTCAAGAAAAAACTCCCTGACGGTATAATTTATTAACTCACAGAATACATTCCTTAGGGAAATTCTATAGCTAGGGAGGCTTAATAATAGAACTGGACAAAATACCAATAAATAATATAGATAACAATCCAGTACTTAAAAGAAGGTAGGTTATATGTTATGTTTTCCTTGTTTATAATAGGATTTTTATATTTTTTCCTTAATGGTCTATTTATTAAAGTGATTGTCTCCAAAAGAAGTATTTAGACAACTACTTAAACATAAAAGGAGTTATCTCGTCTGGTTGGAGGAAGTTAAAAACGTGAGGTTTCCTGCAGCAGTAATGAAAGCAGAAGGTGAGATAATTTTTTACTATTTTGTTTCCACAGAGATTGTCTTCAAGCAGGCTGGGCAAGTATATTAATATTTCTCAAAAACAAAACAAAACAATCCATGTGCACCATCCGACAGAGTTTATTCTGATTTTCTGTGCAATGAATGAAACACACACTTTCATAGACATATTTAATATAAACAATTTATTGCTAAAACAGAAATGAAAAAAAACTTTATTTCAGCTTTTCTAAATGTAGTTCTATGGTCAATTACTTCACATCAATACTAAGATCAAATAGGCATAATACTAACAAGCAGTTTGCTTAATAATAGTCACCACACTAATTAACCCATCCAGAACATTCTTAATCAAACTCCATTTGTAATGTACAGTTAAGAGAAGCCTGACAATAAACTGTTCCATGTTAAAAAGAAAAGAATACCTTACTGATGGAGTGAAAACTGGCTTT